TAGTTCGGTTGTACTGTGATAAAAAAAAATAAAAAAAAAAATACCCCCAAAGTCAAGGTCGTTTGTGTGTCTCATTGAATCGTGATTATAAATCATCCGCATTCCTCTTTCTGTATTTTACCACATGTAGTAAACCGGACATTGTCAGTGCATGCATACTGGTCATGATATATAGTAAATCACTAAGGTGTAATATATTCAATGTGTCACGTTGTAAGTCCACAAACGCTACACACTCCATCCTACAAGGGTTCCAGCGTTCCCAGGTTTTGTGGTTGATAATTCTTAAACGGCTATTTTTTACAGTGGTTGTGTCATGTTAATTTAAACGCCAAATTGTTGTAAAGAAAATTAAAGGGAATATTTTGTATGTAAAACTAATATGAGCATATTTCGCTTATAATTATAATTACACATTTACCGTGTTTCAGGACAGGGAGACATTAAATGAATATGTTGAAGAGGTTTTTGTCGATCTAGTAAGATTTTTATCCCAGGTCAGTTAAAGTTTACTTGTGACGACTGGACAATCTGATGAAAATGATACTGTGATTCATATAGAAAAAAAGAGAGTAAAAAGACATTAAATGGGATAGGCTATAGCTATACAATCATTATTTCTGAGGTGTGGGCGTTTTATACGTGTCTATGCTAAGTGTATCCACTTACATCTACTTGACATAGTTTAACCCTTTCACCACTGTAGACCATAATGGACGCATCCAGATCAATGTATGGTAGAGTCTACTAAAGTTACCTAGGGGTGAAAGGGTTAAGCTGAAGTAAAAGTTTTCTGATATAGTTGACACGGTTTGCTCGATCTGAAACATGTTCGTTTTTACATTTGAAATAAATCAACGACGCTAAAACGTAATTTACAATATGATATTGCTGCATGCTTTATGTTCAATTTTACATTTGAAATATATTATTGACATTACATTTCAACTTATGATATGATATAGCTGCATACTTTATGTCCATTTTTACAATGGAAATATATTATTGACACTTCATATTATACTATTTTATGATATAAGTTCCTGGTTTTTTTTGTTATGTTAATCCGTACCACACCACGGTGTACATGTAGCTGTAGCAATGAAGATATTTTATTAAGAAGACTAATATGAAAAGCAGACAACTAGTATGTCTGTACATTTACACTTCAGCCATATGTTGCGTTTTTTAGCGGACGGACATAATAATGATAAATACATCCCTACGAGGACAATGGAAGGGCTTTGATCATATGTTTGTGTGGGCTATACTTGCAAAAGTTAATGACAAATGAACAGTATATTTAAGTGAGCGTCATTTCAGGAATAATGGAGTAAGAGTGATGACTTTCAATTTAAAAGATGTGTATATAGTTTACACAGTATTCAGTGTAGTGGTTTAAGACCCTAGCGCTTATGTATATACTATATATATATAGTAGATAATAAATAAATAAGTCCTTGCGAAGGAAAATATAGAATAAAACCAATTTTTTCAGATCGTCCGCTAGGCCTTTCTGCCTTCTAGGGCTTCTTCAGGCGGATTGATGTTTATTTATCTATATATATATGTAAGATTCCGTGAATAAGATCATTTATATATATAGAAAGACTGATAGCAAGGGAGGAAAAATCTAAAGAAAATAGTAAGGAAGAGAGAAAAAAGAACATATAGAACCCAAATGATACAATGGAGGTAGCAGATCATATTTTTTGTCATTGTGTTGGTACGTCAGCTGACCCCACGTTAGCTGCCTCTTACAATATCATGCTGAGGCGTTTGCTAATGTTGAGGGGCATTAAAGGCTTCTTCCTTTTTTATGTGTTTCTACATGATATGTTTCGGACCGCTTCACACATCGATGATCATTAGTTTGACCTTTTAGTAACATTGATTGGTCTTAAATGAAAAGAAATTGTCCTATTGAGCAGCGAAAAGTTTTACTTTGTTTGGCTCTCTGCAGCGAAATTTTCAAATAAATATTTTCTTACTTCGTAGTTCTAGTGATTCCCGATAAAAACGTACAACATTTGTTTTGTAGGTCATCAATTATATAGGACACTGCCCACTTGCTTTAAATCATGGAGTGACCACTGGTCAAGGAATTGTTTTTCAAATATGAATATAACAAAATCAAAAACATCCAAAATCTATTCACTGCTGTATATTGGTGCAATTTGTGCAGATGTATTTGATTAATATGTTGTGTGTATTCATTTTACTTTGGAACACTCAAACGGGGTTAGGAGACCTATAATCACCTGCTTGTATAGCCTCACACTGGATGTTTCTTTTCAACTTTCTCTTTCATTCCTTCTATTCTAACCATTCTTTTATTCTCATTCAGTCAGTAAATATTCCCTTTGATTTTTATCGGCAACAATTTGAATATTTCAATATCCAATGGTCAAAACTAATTAACAATTAGACAACCGGAGGCCAGGTCATGATAATTATTTTGTTGAAGTCTCGCTGGAAGATAAGCTTGGCGAAGCAGTTAAGTGTTTGATAATTTTATATAAATATTTTAATCTTTAAATCATCAGGGTGTTTTCAATCGTCCGGTAAATAGAGCATGCAATATATCGATATTGTATACATGACGTCATAATGTTTCATTACTTTCTTTCAACGGATGTAATCACATAGATCACATAATTTTACAAAAATACATATTTAGGAAACGTTTAAAACTAACACTTTATCTCAATTACTGTAAATGTGCCATAAAGATATGTTACAAAGGACACGCGTATCAGCCTATTCTGGCTGTGTGTAGTTATAGAAAACATATATAAAAACATACATATTTAGGAAACGTTTAAAACTAACACTTTATCTCAATTACTGTAAATGTGCCAAAAAGTTATTTTACAAATGACACGCGTATCAACCTATTCTGGCTGTGTGTAGTTATAAATTTAAGCGAATAGGAAGTACACATTGTGAGTGCGATAAGAGAAACGCTTGTGGTTTTGAGAGATTGTCGCTGACACTGACCGAGTATCATCACGACGAAAATGTCATCCGGGGTCAATTTTTTGTCTAGATAATATATAACAAATCATATCCTGTACTAGAGTACGGCTTAAGTAACATTTTCACTGATTTGTGAAATCTACTAGGTTCGTTTTAAATTGGCTTCTTAATTCATACATGGAGGTAATCTTTAGGTGAGTTTGTAAGTTGAGCGAGTACAATATAAAGGTTGAAGGATGTTGACATTACCACAATCTGACACTGAACCAGTAACGTTTTAACAACATCACCGTGGAGATACGGTAGTCTAGTGGTAGAATGCCAGGCTCGTGACCAAGGGGTTGCGAGTTAGAGTCTCGTCACGGCACCGTGGTTGGGCAGTGCTAGAGTTGTTGAATGCTAGCTATGATGTACTATACATTTTCATTAAACTTAGTAATAATTGGTAGATTGACTCATCATTTATGTCATCGCAATCAAGGTATTATTGGCGCGGAGTTACCTCCCGATTCTGTCAGCATGTATTTGTGTCGATTATACAGACATGTATATGTTACTTTCTGTATACTGTATGTTTGTCATGAGAGATCACTCTCGAAATATGTATGTAATATTATTTTTATTTATGTATACATATGGGCCGTAAGGCCCCGGGATAACATTTGAATATAATTGAGCATCGAAATGGCAGCACCGGCTGTACGTTCTCCAGGGAGTTGGGAAATATATTGCAAAGGCCCTATAACCACGAATAATATTTTGTGAACTGCTTTGAGACGACCTACGAACTAGGTTGTAATAAAGCAATATATAAGAATCTCGAATTGTTTTTATCATTATCATCATACATATCAGCATTGTAACCAAAACAGATGATACAACATGATCATTCTTATTCGATTTAGGGTTTTAGTCCAATAGTCTAAATATAATAATGTTTCATAGGAAATTTTCACTGTCAAACGTAAGCCCGACACCTGTGGACTTAATGCTCCTTTTTAATTTTTCACTCAGTCAAACGGAAGCCCGACACAATGGCTCACTGATATTTTTACATACAATTCGACTTGGCACCGAGCCAAAACTATGTAATCGCTATGTTTATGAATGTATTGTATCCAAAACTTATGATTAAATCCGATTTAATAATATTTATTAAATAGATGGGTTTGATATTGAAAAAATATATAAATACCAGCTCTTCTTTGACAACAGAGCAAGTTCTAGTCAAGGATACCCTGAGTAATAATGTACTCTGACAAGTTTTATCTTGTCAACTCATTCACCCCTAAAGACACATATGAACTCTTTTAATTCAACGGTGGGAATAGTTCATTATGAAATATCTGGGGTGAATGAGTTAAATAGTTAATCGACAACGATACACACCATATGCTATAGTTAAATGTCTCCCTTCTCAGCTTTCGTTTTGCATATTATGCTGTTTAATTCAAAATAGTCATGCTATATTTGGCCTCATTACTGAAAGGGTGAATAATACTCGTGCATAATGAAATTTTGTAGTTAGATATGAGTAAAGTGTACTGTCAGGCTGCTTCTGTAGTATAAAACAATGCCGTAACACCATGCCGTAACCTTTACTTAAGCCCAAGCCCGGTAAGAAGCCCTCCTTCACTGTTCCTTTCATCAATAGGGTAAGAGGGTCAGTGTTTGGGAAAGAGGGAACGTATATAATTTAAATATATGCCATAAAAAGAGGAAGGACATTAATTACCGCAAATACAGTAGCTTCAATTGATATGAGGATGTCACCAAATCAATCGCTGATAAGAGTTTGTGTTTTGTTTATTATCTGTTTATTTGCCTCCTAACGGGAAGTTGGAAATACCTTGTAATAGACTGTAAATCTATCATCTGTCATTTTGAAGTGTAATTTTAAAGTTCAGTTGATATACATTCACAATGCTCGTAAAGTAGTTAGCTACTCTGATCATCCTACCGTGTATATCATAAAAAGTAATTTGTGTTTCTTACCACATGTTTTTTTTTATCTGTTTCAGATGAGTTATCAGACAGGACAGTCAGTTACATGACGTGAGAATGGCTTGGTGAACCCTGGAATTTGGGGTTGGTATTTAGGATTTTCCTGCTGCGCAATTATTTAAATCCGTAAAACAGTAGAAAGCTTACTATTCACGAAGTCTTAATTATAAGACAAGACTTTTTCGGCGTTTTCTTTTCACCTTTTTCACTTGTGATCAAGAAAAATATTATATACTCTAGATACATGAGTAATCCAGAAAGGATATTACAATATGAACACTGGATCCGAAGAATAAGATTTTTGTTGAATAAATATTATGATATCAAATGTATATACAAATAGGTAACAGTGGTAGGAAGGGCAAATAAATTAGTCAAAATTTCGAAGAAATCCACCCTTGATCAAGACACAAACATGAACAAATACATACCACAATTGTAGATATTTATAACATACATGTACATACAAACTGTACATGTACATTTGTTACAAACGTGTTATATAAAAAATCACCCATTTAATAAAAAATCATATCAGTGAAGATATCTGAAATTTGATTCAGTATTGTCGAATCAGAACAGTACATTTTAATCACTGCGTACATTTTTTAAGTTGCAACAGCGGTTGTTTTGGTGCACCTTTAAAACATACAGTATGGTATTTACATAAATACACAATTTTTATAATTTTTGTTTGGAAATCATACCAGATTATACCATCTAGTGGCAAATTGAGTGAAGTAACCCATTCAAAATAGCGCTCTGCCATGTTGTCAATTGTGACGTCATAATAATTTCACATCTAATATCACACTTCAAAGCCCCGCGGTTGTTGATGCAGCAATATGTGCGTCGCATTTCATCTTAGAATGTAATAAATTAAAAATGTAATGGTTGAATACTATATTGAACTCGTATGACAGAATATACCGATTTTTCAGTGGTACGTTGCACTGGTGAAAAAATTCGGTAATCTGCCATACTTGTGAAATATATGGCATTCAACACGAAACTATTGAAAATTCTCTATATATCAAATCAACCAAATGGATGGCTTATTTAACACTAGACGGATAACATGTTAGAAAGACGTATGAGTGACAAACCCAACGCCTTCAAGGTGTTATAGGTACCAGACAACACATTATATTTAACCCTTTCATCACTAGGTAACTTTTGCAGACTCTATCATGTACTGATCTGGATGTGCCCATTCTGGTTTACAATGGAGAAATGGTTATCATTGATTTTCACCAGCTTTGCCATAATTGGTGGTTTGGGGTGAAACAAGCTGATTTTATATATTATGTTATCCTACATATTGCACATTTGATATCGAAATAGCTCTGTTCCTTTGACTAGCGCTTGTTATTATCTTATAAACACTAACATCTGCCTTTAATGTTACCCATTATTCGGTAGGAAACTATCGATTGTCATGCAATACTTTGTTGTTACTAAATTATGTATGACTCTGTTGTGATTCAACACTAACGTCCGACTTTATATTATTTGTTTTAGGGTCAAATCAGAACAGCTGCTACCATGACAACGCAGGTGTTTTCAATCTTACTGTTCAGAAGAAGTTCAATAACGCAACTATGTCCTCAATTGGACACGACGCGATCAGGAAGGAGCATATAAGACTGGTGGAGAATGTAGACACAAGGTATATCGCTGATTACCTCTATCAGAATGATTTCCTCACTCCGGAAAATTTGGAGTTTTTAACAGATGAAAGTAGGACACAACGAGACAGATGCCGTCATCTGTTAATGACATTATGTAAAAGGCAGTATGCCTTATCACAATTACTTAACGCGCTTATACATGACAGCAGTTACCCATATTTATGTACTGAGCTACTTATCACGCTAGGAGAGGTGGTCGCATCACCTTGCAAAAAACAAAGACGTTTAAGTATAACAAGTAAAGATCAGGAAGATTTTACCTTCCTAGGGATCTGCAACCCGTCAAGAGAAATCAAACGAACAATCTTTACGAAGGAACATTTTCACGCCACAAAACTGTATTGCAAACTGCGTCGATCACTCAATCAAGGGAAACACTTGCTGTACGAATTTGACGATGAGCTGAATACATACCAACAGTTATGGGAACAGAATCAAAAAGACGTCTTTAGAAGACGCTGGGTAGCCAACAGATATGTTGAAATTAAAGTTCTTCAAATGAGGAAATTATCGGAAAGTGGCGCCGATGACAATACCATTCAAAATCTATTCAGTGATATCGCTAAACTGGTGCCCTACACGTCTCATCCATGCGCTTCGATCACATCATTGCTGACAATATTCGCACATGCGCTTTTGACCGCTAGAAAACCTGGTGAGGAAGTCTTAAGTGTTCTAAACGAGGCGAAAAGTAACTTTCCGTTCCTTCCGGGCTGCCGTGAAACATCGTTAGTTCTTATTACAGAGTTTAAGGTTTATTGGCAAATATACGAAAAAAATTCCGACAAAGTTACAAAAAAGGAGCTTTTACAGAAAGCGGCAGCCGCTGCGATGCACTTTGCAGTTGACGAGGAGCTGAACGAGGATTTAGTATATAAACTATACCTCAATAGAGGGTTACAGTTTCTGCAGACACTGGCTAACCTCGGTCTCGGCTACACTCTGAGGAATATTCGACATGATTGTGTTTCCAAAGAAAACGTGGATTTCGCGAAGTCGTTTCTGAAAACCGTTGACACCGAAGAAGGTTGGCAGCAGATGGAGGTCCGTTGGCGTATGTCATTTAATATGGCAAACTCAAAAATCTGTTTTGTTCAAGGAGATGTCGCAAAAGCATTGAAATTAGCCAACAGTGCATTAGAGTTGTCAAATGGTATTCATTTTAAGGAGGAACATGAGAATATTCAGGAATTTATTCGTTTTATATCGGTAGACGGAGTGAAGGAACAATTCTCACAGCAGAACAATCGGACAGAAGTCTCAAACGAGAACAATGACCAACATACGTCCACAACAAACCTCAGTGATGGACCCAAATTTCAACAGCCACCGGAAGTACTGGATATCCATAACAAATCCCCGGATGAAGAAAAACGCATGAAAGAGAATAAACGGAACGAAAGTATGCGTGACGATTCCAGTAAACATAGTGCAAAAAGTGTAGGAACACCTTCAGATGTGAATGAGTCGGCGATATCTTGTAAAGAATGGTATTCTTCACGGATGTTACAATCTATTGGCATACTGATTATTTGCACAATGTTGCAGTACATATATTCTTTACTGTGAATAAGACATTTTAACTAAAATATTGTGTTGTGAGTGTTTAGCGAAATGATATACTATAAAACAGATAGGGGATAAAATACACGTAAAACTGTGTTTGGAATTAGTTACATGTTCTGTGCTTTACAAGTAGAAGTTTTGGTTCTCACTAATGCTCTCTGCACCCCTGAAATATGTAAATACAAACCCAAGGGAAGGAGGCCAGCTATTTGATTGGTTCCAGATCAAAAACTAACTGACCAATCGCTCCTCTGTGATCCCTGTCCCTTAAAGATCACAGAGGAGCGATACCCGACTTACAAATCCAGTCATTTACACCTTGACGTTTCCTCGCAATTTTCCATGTACATAAAAAGATTAAACTATTCTACTTTGACAGCCACAAGGTGGCGCATTAAATGCCTTCGTTTTGATATATCCCAGGGGGCGCTAAAAATGTTAGTGAACGTAACCTCTTGTATTCTGTTATTGTGATGTTCGTTGTTTTTATTCCACTTTTTTTTTGTAATTGTTTTATTTTTCTAAATAAATCATCAGCATTAAAGCAATCAACACCATCATACTTCTTGGGAGTCATGAACCAAACAAATTAACAGTGACGATGAATTTTTCTTGTAAAGATATTAATGTAACTAGCTAAGCGTGTCTTAAGGTAAGGGTATCTTTAAAATAAGTTGCATTTTTTAAATGATAACATGGCCGATAGTATAACTGTCATATACTCTATACAACTTTTTTCACGGTTGCCTCTTTGATATTAACTAAGGTAAAGTAGAGTATCAAGATGACTGGGTACATGTATGTAGTTTTTTTTTTGCTAGAAACATTCACTGACTTGAATCATTCGCAGATTCCATATACCGTGAAAATATCAAAATAACACTTCCGCGAAATTGACCCATAATGCAATGTATGAAAAAAATACTAAGATATTTATTTTTATGGTTTTTGTTTATTTTTGTTATTCACTAGTTTGTTTCTCACAAATTCGTAAGTACCATCAGCATTAAAGTTATGAGGGAATTTGCTCTTGTACGTGCTCTCTGAGTATCATTGTGATAACCACATTGTGGATATAGTCCTTCCTAAGTTGATTTTACCTTTTTTCATGTAGTATCTTTCTCTCCATTCTAAACCAAAGACATTTTACGGTGTTCATAAAAATATTATTTTCAAAGATGTGCATTTCGATAAAGGATATCAACAGGTTAAACTAAATTATTTCAGTTGTCAATATTGTGAAATATCTAAATAAATCCTTTTCAAACGAAGTATAAAATCAAAAAAGAAATGATGCAATGATATTTTACAAAACAATAGTCGTTCGAAATTTGAATATTTGAAAGAAAGAAAGAAAAATGAAAAGAGAAACACCGCAACGATAAAACAGGAAACATTACAAAGCTAACGCTTCATCGATGTTGCTATCGTGTAATTGTAGAAGCACAGTATCGAAATGAGTGTCAATTCATCGGCCGTAAAGCTTATGAAAACAATAGCAGGGGGAAATAACTCTAAGGCAAAAAATATGATTGTTTCATCTTCTATATAGAAGGGCGAATACTCTAAGTAATAATTAACTATGAGGGGAACTTTTTTTCCTGATTACAACCAAGACGGTGGTAGCCTTAACCGTAATAAGTCACAGAAATTGTCTCCCACGAATGAATGTCAGTTACCCTAATCCAGCAAAATATGGTTGTTTCATCTTCTAATTAGAAGAGAGAGATGACTCTGAGTAAAAACTAAACTTACTTAGTCACAAAAAAAATGCATTTTCTTTTCGCTGCCGACTGACAAACTTTGATAAATTTCATACATGTCACCGACGTAGGTATAACGGCATATAACTGTACAAGTGTAGGAATATAGTGGAATGTATATCCTGTTGAGAGATACTTAGTATCCATGTGTGATATGATCTGTACTTCCTTTAGATTTTGCTTTTTCACATTTTTGATGAATTCACCCGATTGACAATAGTATTCATGTTTATCACATTTATCGTAAGATGGAAGCCTAAGAACAAACATGGATACAAGTTTAATGTGTGGTTGTGAGAGAGGAAATGTTGACTCGCCATTAATATGCAACAGCATAAAAGAAATGATATTCTGATCCTTGATTTTATTTAAAGTAAACCTCACTTACATCTATCTACATGACTATTAGATATACTCAAAACATAAACATAAAATGTACTTTGATATATTAGAACAACAGAAGAATTTCTTTTATAATTGTTATTATTCTCAATGTTCCGATTTTCGTTTATAAAAAAATGACACATGAGCCCATATTGACAAAATCCACGTATACTTTCCTTCCAGAGTCTATAACACAATTATATATTTCAGAATAGGATAAGATTTAAAATATTTACACAAACGGTTTGCTCGTCGTAACCAGTTGTTGCATCCTCGAAAATCCAGGGGTTACGCTGACTTACGATGTAAGTGAATTCGAGTGAATGTAAGTGAATGTAAGTGAATGTCAATGAGTGTAAGTGAGTGCAAGGGATTGTAAGTGAGTGTAAGCGTAAGTGAACGTAAACGAGTGTAAGGGAATGTAAGTGAATGTGAGTGAAAGTGAGTGAGTGAATGTAAGTGAATGAACGTGAAGGTAAGTGAAAGTAATTGAGTGTAAATGAATGTAAGTGAATGTAAATGAGTGTAAATGAATGTTAGTGAGTGTAAGTTAATGTAAGTTGATGTGTGTAAGTGAGTGTAAACGAGTGAATGTAAGTGAGTGTAAGTGAGTGTAAATGAGTGAATGTAAGTGAAAGTAAGTGAGTGTAAGTGAATGAAAGTGAATGTAAATGAGTGTAAGTGTTAGTGAATGTAACCCCTGACTTTTATGGTATCTTTAAAATAACGTTGTGGTGTTTAGAGATATCAGATTTATATACTCTTGTATTAATTCAATACGCATTGCCAGTGTGAAATAAGTGCTTATATTGCCATGTATCTAGCTGTTATTTTTAATGTATACTGACATAAACATATCACTGCTAATGAATGTCCGTTTAACATCAAAAATGTACAAATTTTGTAATATTATATTTGGAGCAACAATCTCGAATGAAATACTCAACTCAAAATGTCAACGCACTGAATATATTTCTTGTATTTGTGTTGTGCAAAAAGTGGCTGAAATTCATGTAAGGTATAGAAACAATGATCTGAACTTATATCTGGTATTTGTGTATTGCGCGATTAACTGCCCTGAGATTATGTTATTTGTCACAACTATAATAATCATATGAATATGTATATCTGTGGCATAATAAACAGCAAAGTATTTTCATTTTTTTTCCATATGGTGTCATTGATCTGAATATATATATATGTTTAGAAATGTGTGTATTGAACTCTTAACTGAAATTCATGTAAGAAAAACTAACATTGATCGAAATATTGTTATTGCACAATAAGGTGAAATTCATGTCAGATATTTTTATACTATAATGATCTACATATATTTCAACTCTTTAATTATTGCATAATAAGCTGAAATATGATGGCATTATTATGTGATGTTGTTTACCCATTTTCATTGTATTTTTTAAGTTCACATGATACTTATTTTCTGTAAGAATATTTTTTATCAAATAACTTCGACAAATAAAATTCTTCGTGAACACAACCTGTGTGTGATCACTGTATATAATTTACATTTTTATGAGATATCAATGTCAATAGCAACCATATGTCTTGTAAGGTAAAGAGTTCCAACGTTCTGTAATGCGACTCCAATAACAAAGAGTTCCAACGTTCTGTAATGCGACTCCAATAACAAAGAGTTCCAACGTTCTGTAATACGACTCCAATAAATAAGAGTTCCAACGTTCTGTAATACGACTCCAATAACAAAGAGTTCACATTTGTTTGGCATTTATCAATCGTAAACCGTCGGCTTATTCCGTAAACGAGAAAATATTTATTCGTTTACGGAAAGTGGCGACGGTTCCCGATTGGGCATTTATCTCACATAGAGCGGGCTGCCCATTTACTTTAGCAGAAAGTTATATGTTTATAAAGGATATCAATTAAATTCAACACAAAATAACTTTTATTTAAAAGTGATAACAAAAAGATATTTGTTTTTCTACAATAATTGGTTCGTGCCCTATATATAGATAATTCAAGACTCAATATGATGCCCGCCTTGAAATAATTCAAAACCCTAGAACATGTTTACACATTTTGTTCTTACATTACAACACATTGTGTGACCACAATGAATTACAGCGGAAGGGAGACAACCCCTTCGTTATTTGTTAGCATTTATATTAGATCTATGCTATCGAAAACTTAAAGTTTCCCCATATTCTGTTGTTTTCATCAATTTATTTATGCTTCTGAACGGGAAATGACGTAATATTCAGGATATATCGATAAAGCAGATGTCCTATTCACAAGAATGTAAATATTCAATATGCATAGTATATACAAAAGAGGCATTATCATTTAAACAATCAAAGTATGTAGACAGATGAGAAATCCAAACTATCACATTTAAACAAATGAAGTACGTACGATCGAAGACTCACAAATCCCCAATACATTTAGGTAAACAAATTATGTACGATCGAAAAGATACCTAACCTCCACACATTTAAACAAAGGTACATCCAATGATGTATGAAAGTAATGTTACCAACCAAAACAATGAGACTCAGTCTTTCTACAAAGTTGAAAATGCATTTTGCAAAGTCACGTCTGTACAATGTAACTGATTAAGTTGGTATCCCTATGATATTCAAATATGACATAGAAAATGAAAGTTGAAGTAACAGTAACCATCATCTAATTTTCCAATGGCTCCCCAAATTCAAACACACGTTCCAATGTTCTCTGTCGTCAACAAACTGGTGTCGATGAGAGTGCCATCTAACCACTTCAAAGGATCAGAGGTTGTCTCCTTGTAACCGCCTACCCAAATGTAAGATACATCTGGAATATCATGATTAGTAAATAAGAGTTATGTTACATGGAATCACAAAATAGATTTCTTTAAAATGAATTGTTTTCATTGTGATTGTTTAAGATTATATAATAAGAAATTAAGTATTATATATACAAATGGTATGGAATATTTTTCCTCAACATTCAATGAATTCAGTGTATGTTGAAGTATAAAGTGAAGAGTAATTTTAATATATATATGTATCGCAGTTCACCGTTTAACCAACCAAAACACATTTGACACACACTTTATTCAAATCTATTACCTGTGACTGATTGAGATCGGGTTATATCAGTCTCGGGCTAAGAGCGAGATCGGGTCAAGAGCGATCGGGCTAAGAGCGAGATCGGGTCAAGAACGATCGGGCTAAGAGCGAGATCGGGTTATATCAGTCGTGGGCTAAGAGCGCGATCGAGTTCAGAGCGATCGGACTAAGAGCGAGATCGGGTTATGTCAGTCGAGGGCTAAGAGCGCGATCGAGTTCAAAGCGATCGGGCTAAGAGCGAGATCGAGTTATATCAGTCGAGGACTAAGATTTTGTAACATAATCCCAACCGAGGCGTAGACCGAGGTTGGGATGTTACATAATCTTAGTCCGAGACTGAGGTAAACCGATCTCGCTTAGTTACAGGTAAATGATTTTTTCCTCGCATCTTTCAGATCGGCAAACACTTTTTTGGTAAAAACTACAAGTATTCCGTCTATGGCCTCTACACTACTAAATCTACAAGTAAATGCTGCCGCGTAAAATTGTAGTCCGTCCTTACAAAGAAGACAACGTATTTCACAGAGTATTTTTTATCTACAACATCAGATATCTACCTACATTTTGTACAACACAACAACACAAATTAACGACAAAACAGAATGTGTATAATGCAGATTATCAATTGCGAGCAGTTAACGCGCGGATAAATACGTCACTGTGTAAAACTTCCGCGAAATGTCACGAAAAGATATCAGAGAGATCGGACAAGATGGGAAAATCTAGCATGGAAAATGTCGTGAGATATATGGGTCTGGGGTGCCAGAAATACATATGTGTGCCATCACTGAAAAGAAATGATAGCAAACAATATAGCACTTGTGTTTGAATATCAAGACACTTTATAGATCATTGTCGGAAAATTGGGGACAATTTTGGCTTATTTATGAATGAATATGGGTTCAGACCGTTAAATTGTTACCTAATGACAGCCCGTCGCCATGGAGACTTAATGACAAATGTCATGTCCTTTGGCCTATGGGTTATTCAGAAGGAGTCGTTGAGATATGTCAATCATAAAGGAAATAGTCTCAGAATGAGAAAAAAAATTGATAATAAAAACGGAACACAAAGAAAAGGTCAGTTCATCTTTTGTTGAAAAAACTTGTTAAAAGGATTTTCATAATGATCGAGCAGTGCGTAGGATTATTGATAATTTATAAAGAAAATGTTCATAGCATATTTCCTAGCAGTTTTCTTAGCCAATGCTTCTTGCAGTTTTTCCTAGCAGTTTTCTCTAAATCACTCAATTCATAAAGATATTCATAAAGATAATTGATTTTCTTGGTTCAGCAAAGATTATATAACCGACAAATTATTCCATTGGCATATATGTACAAGTATATATATGTTATCAGGGACGAAGATAGATATATTGTAGTTTTGACCTTGATAGAAATTATTTAAACCAGCGTTAAAGTTGTTACCAAAGAAAGTATTAAGGGTTTCCATGTCAACCTTCCCTGTGTTCATAGTTTCCCCTAGGTTTTATTCATTTTTAGTTTAAATTGTGTTTTTTAACACTTTGATATTTTTTTTTATTGATATAAAAGGAGTTTATATCTTTGTTCGGGGAAAAAAGGATTAAGGATAATTGTGACACATTTCCTATACATCTTAATTGTCCTTAATTGTTCTTAGAACATTTCTATACTTGGTTTAAACAACTTGCTGGTGAAATTTCTAAAATTTTAGATATAAAAATGCAATGGGGTCTTTTTTGTTTTACTATTTATAAAGAATTTAGTGCTCTGTGGTTACATTTTCAAAAACATTTTCACCTAGTGTCGTTTATCTATTTCTTTTGAAAAATAAAAATATAACTATTTATATCTTTTAACAAATTGATTCGGGTTCTACGGGAAGTTGTTGATATTTATCGTCCAACAAATTCAAATAATCACTTCTTGTTTACCTGTTTAAGAACAAAGATATATTTGGTACATACCAGTATGCTTATCCATGACTTCCAGGGCAAATTCCAATTGGTCCTTAGTGCCGACTTTTAGCAGGTAGGTCCCTTCAGCAGCACAGTGCGCCTTTGCATCATGCCATGTTCTCCCCACATTAACAACCTTTAAACAGTAGCATGAAGCTGAGCAGTATACGCTGGGCCACCTCGATTCGTATCCATAGCATTGTGTCGCTGAAAACAAAACAGCACAAGTCAACATTGTTTTTATTGTAAACGCTGTTCTGAATAAACACGGACGATGCTGCCAAAATCGATAATGTAGGCCCATCACACAATTCCCTAGTTAAAGATAAACTATATCGTAACAAACAAAAACAAACACAGGGTCCGTGGAAATACAACAATAAAAGAAACAGGTTCTAATTATAACGGGGCACAGGAGAGAAGTCCCACAAACAGTCACTTTATTAGCAAATATCAAACAATTTGTATTAGCCATACTATGTTGGGAGCAAAATCAGAAAAGGAGAGGGGATGTCAACTGTTGACATCACATTGGCGTACACCCATAAATGTTAAATTAGGGAATAACCGTATTGCTTTTTTTTCAATTTGCTAAATGATACGAAGGAAAAATAAGAATATCAATAAGATTATTCATATTGATGAAAATAAACGCAGCAAGAACAATATATCCCCCACATCGGTTCGAGGACTTAATGACGCTATCATATGGATACATTTCTTTAAGTTAACTGTATCACAATCCCACGGAAATACAAGAAATGAATTGTTTCAATTCTACTTTCTAATAAAAATTTTCTGTTTCTTTTTGTTTTCTTTATTTTGCACTTCTGGTGAATTGTTCTTTACTTGAAAGATGCATATTCAATTTTCTCTTCCAAGGACGATCCAACTTAAAGTAGACATTGACATGAACTTGTAAATAACAAGTATATGATTATAAATATATATATAATTTAATAAGTTTAATTTCATATAATTTTATATTTATTAAGCACGTGATTTAATAAATTGGCATTGACAATCAGATAAAAAATAGAAAATATTTTAGGTCGCAGCTTTCTTTGGCTCAAGAATGCCACTTTATACCCTGTTCTCGGAGAACTTAGCTGCTCAGGAAGAAATCATGACTAGTTTGGGCGACAAGGGAAATCTCAATAAAATTGAAAAAAAATATTTACAAAAATAAACCTTCTTTTCTGGTCTCAATTGATATGCATGGACTGTCAATGTGCGGGTTTACAAAAACGAATGTTTAACAGCTTGAGATCCACTATAATTACACGTTTAAAACGTTTCAACGGTGGCATATATCGATAAACTCACGCAACCGTTGAACTCAAATCCTACCGGAAACTGCCAGATACGCATGCTTGCGCATTGTCATGCGTCCCAGTAATTGAATGAAAACTGACGACTGTGCAGGCATTGTCATCAATAATGAAGGAAATTATCAATGCTTCCCGACTGTGAATGACAGCGTTTAATAATAAACCCAAACAATGATAATATTTGGAAGCATGATTACGTGACAAATGAAAACATCAAGGACACCAGATGGTTGTTATTGTGAAATTATGAAAAAACTATCTCTCCTTATACTGTGCAAAAGTAAACACATAACAACAAACTGTATATCAGTATAATGATTATCACGTATATCTAGTGATAGCAATAACGACGTGTAAACAAAACCCTAACTCGAACACCAAGATCGATAAATATATGGCAAGATATGAACAAACAAGGAATATTATTAATGTAGCCCACTGAAAAAGAGAACAACACCAGATGTTCTGGAAATAGAGGACCGACGACACTTACTTGTAAATCAAAGTCAATTCCAAGTAATAGCACGTCCGCATTGCGAGAGCGGGGTTAGTGATAACAAAACTAAAAAGCAAACTGATATACATTTTAAGGAACAGCAACCTACGTATCAAATAATCACACAAAAATACCGTATTTCCGAATAAGATTATGATAGAGACCAGAAAACTTGTCCGTAGTCTTAATCTACCAGAATATTAAGAAACAACGTGGTAAAAGTTGTTCGTCAGCAGACGACGACTATTACGGAAATACTGATAGTCGGGGCAAAATTCTGAATACTGAATCAACTGCAACCGTAGGTTGAGGTAGCAGTAATGTAACGCTCACGAAAGCGAAGTTTCATAAGATAATCGCAACCCTCCCGCTTATAGTACAGCCTAGAAGTGAGTTGTTGGTAAGCTGTTTGTGGTGTTGTAAGTAAAGGGCAAGGAAAGCAGCTGAAGAGAAGAGCCTGCATTGTTGCATTGTCCATGAATTCGGGTTCAGGATGGCATAGCGTTTGTTGTTATTCAGAAACAGCACATCGTCAGCAAATCTAAACAAGAATTTGAATGACTTAGATAGGATTTTGTTACCGGTTCTGATAAGCAAACTAACAAACCCAGCCTCATATGATAAAATGTCTGCCAAAGATCTGGAGTGGCACAGTTTGTTTCAATAGGAATGCATACAGTTGACGGAAAAGAGTATATCAACCGGGAACTCAATCATTCTAACAATGTCGTACGCAGTGTTTTTTTTAAATTTTCTTTTACCTTTGTTGAGCTTTTATTATGGTCCAAAACAATTTACAACCATAATTTTATATCGCGTTTCGCAATATCTGGATAAGGAAGCTGTAACGGCGTTCCTTCAATTGGGTATGAGGTATGTTAGTGTAAAGAGCAATGGAAACATTTGAATAAAAGAAACATTTTTGAGATTTGATGATGTTTAAGATTGATCAAAAGATCTTTTGAATTCTTCAAAGTACATCTTTCATCATATACACATATGAAGTATACGGTCTCAAAATACGACTATAATCTTGATTTAATGTTACTCAAAATGGTAGTAAGAAGTTTGAATCTTTGTTGCACATCTAGAAAAGTCAGCGTTAACACGTTGTGCTCTTGTGAATTTTCGGAATCAAATAGAAATGAGGCAGGTCAGCATCCGTTTCATTTATGAGTATTAGGAGCGATTGTAATACAAAAGCGTGATAATATACATATATGTAGTATTTAGTATTTATTCTGTCCAAAAATTGGAAATGTGCAGGTAAGTTTTCATTGGTTATCAAACAAACGTAGTTCTTTTACATACAGGCAATGTTTGCAAGTATATATTAAGTTATATTAGTAGAATCATGTAGATTATTGGATATGAAAACAACTTCTTCGACGGACCTAAAAATAAAAAGTGTAAAGTGTAATGTAAAGTTTTAATGTAAAGTGTTCTAAAAATAGAACACTTTACATTAAAACACCTTTTTTTTAGGACTCACAAATAGTTTTGATGAGTGTGTGTATGTCATATGATTGCAACATAAAGAAAACTGCTGGAAAGTTTAATATAAGTTATTCTAGCTAAGGCGTTTTGATTAACCTTCTCTAAAACATGCGTCAAAGAACATCTGTCGCTGACTGTGTATGCTTAAAAACTTATTTTATCATCGGAAAGGCCCAAATTATATGTTAAATGATTGCCTATCTAAAGTTATAAATAGTGTTATGCGCATCTAGCGTTCAAATACAAAAAAAAATAAATAGAATTGACGAGAGCAATGACCTCAAACACAACAGGAAACATAAAATGTAAATATGATAAAGTAGTAATACCTCTCCAAACGCGGTTCCCAAGAACAGTTTTCAAAGTCAGGAAATTGTCGTGAAGTCGACAGACACCTGCTTTCTTTCTGAAGCTAAATCCAATGCACCCGGTTGTTTGTAGACATAATATTGAACACGCAAGGATAGATCGGCATATGCCATCCAATAAAGGAACCGACAGCTCCTTGTCAACAAGCATGACATCCTCTTTAAAGTTTGGTGACATCACTGAAAATTAAATTGTGCTTTGGTTGGATGGCTAAGTATCATCACAGTTCTTATACGAAAAAAAAGTGTTTTGACATATCCGAATTGTTATTTGTGCGATTAACAAGATTTAAATGCAACAGGGACCGTAAGACAAGTCGCCATAAGTGCCCCTTTGTAGTTGATGATGAATTTCCAGGAGTTTGCAATGCCGAAATACACATTTTTAAAAATGAGTTTAAACAAAAGCAGATTCGAAGAAGGACCGTTGCCATCAGTTTAGCATACCCTAAAATAAGCTCATTTGAAAATCATCAAGTATTAGAAATATTCCTGGAATTCTTTTTAGACAAATATATTTCGAAAGTAAGCTTCAAAATATGCCGGCCTTGATATTCCCTTCAGGCCATGGTAGTGGATCTTGCAAATCAAAGATGTGTATGCTAATTATTTTCATTTGTTTTGAAAATAAGTTTAGTATGTAATTTGCGCAAATTACACGGAAAATCATTTTGAAGAATTTCAGCAAAACTGGCCTATGGCATTTAAAGGCTTTGGACGTAAGACGATATTGCAAATAAAAATGGGCCCGTATTCATGAAACTGTTATCGTGCTCAAGCAAGGAGTTTGGGCGAATTTCTCGTTCCAGCTATGAATTAATAGCAAACTTTTATTTTGTCAATGATTTTGAAAAAAGGGAAAGAACAAAACCTGAAAACGTTTATCAATGTTGACATTTGACCTTTTGATCGTTAGACATAATTGATTTAAGTAAGATACAACAAAGTTGTTTTTAGCATGGGAACATTTTTATGAATACGGGCCCTACACATGTCTTCAAAATAAGACTGTCGTGCAAATAAGCCAGTGGTGGCTTACAGCTTCAATCACTTCGAAAATAAGACTGCCTTGAAAATAAGCCAGCTTCGAAAATAAGCCTGTGATTCCTTACTTAAAGTGAAAATAAGCCGCGGCTTATAATTAAGATATTGGATTACACCCATAAATGTGTAAGTCAACTATAATCAGAGCCCGTGGATACCATCTTGCAAGTAATATCATAATAAAAAAAGTGTTATGCTCAACAGCAAAGGCATATCAACACTCATTTGAATATTTATAAGCATAGGAAAAATAATATCTGAGGAAACGTCGGGAACCATTCCGCTGGAGAAAAAGAAGAAATAACAAGAAATGCAGAAAAAATAATTAGTACTAAGACTCGTTTAGGGAAGTTAAATATATTTCTTTAACATTGAATCAAAAAACTGTTTTGGAAGGTTTGCCTTACCTGCTTTTTGTATGTATTTGCTCCTGGACGGCAAATATCACTATCTATCCTTCTCTGTATCAAATGTTATGATAGTGTCTTAACTCCTGTCTTCTGTCCTGTAGCAGAGGGTATTACCCATGTCACTCTGTAATAGAATATAAGACTTATTCCATATATAAAGCAAGTTATTGATTGATTTGTAACTAATATTTTAACAATCAGTCTCTCGAAAAAGATTAATGGAGCCTTCTTTGTGTTTTCTGGTCCGTGTAATTGATTTTCCTGTCTGTATCATCACAACGTGAAACAATTTTTCATATATTATTGAAGAACGTCAAACTTGATAACAACGATATAATACTGATTCTATCATATCATCACATAATGTACTTTGTTATCCAGTGAATATACCCATGTCATATCTTTTTGTGCATTAACCCTTGTAATATGACCTAACAGCCGTGTGATCGGTTGTAAGTTGCAATTGTTTCAATTGTGACGTCACGCCTAGGACAAGTACACGACCTAATAGACCTACGCACTGGAGTCAAAATGGCG